TGAGGAGAATATAAGATTTACTTTGTTGTTCCTCAATGAATCAGCAAGATGTAGTGCACCTTTATTTCCGATTCGACTATAGTGGAGATTAAGTGACGTGAGTGTCTATGTGTAAAGTTGTAAATGTGTGTATGAGATCGTTGACAGAAAAATGATATTTACTGTATTGTTTCTTAATGAATCCGCTAGATATTGTGCTCCCTTCTCTCCGATATAATTTTTGCTGAGATCAAGTAGAATGACTGTCTGTGTGAAAAAAGTGCAAATCTGTGTATGAGACGATTGAAGCGAAAATGATATTTACTGTGTTATTGCTTAACAAATCAGCCAGATGTTCTGCTCCTTTGTCTTTGATTTCATTGCAACTAAGTTCAAGTGTTGTAAGTGTCTATGTAAAATAGTGTAAATGTTTTTATGAGATAGTTTAAGAGAAAATAATATTTACTGTGTTGTTTGTTAATGAATCAGCAAGATATTGTGTTCCCTTATCTCCAAGTGTATTCCTTGAGAGATCAAGTGTGGTGAGTGCCTGTGTGAAAAAGTGTGAATATGTGAATGAGACAGTTTAAGAGAAAATAATATTTACTGTGTTATTTCTTAACGATCTAGCAAAATGTTGTGCCCCTTTGATTCCGATTTGATTGAAATCGAGAACAAGTGTGGTGAGAGTCTGGGTGGAAAAATGTAGACATTTGTATGACATAGTTTCAGAGGAAATGAGATTTACTGTGTTGATTCTTAATGAATCAGCAAAATATTGTGCTCCCTTTTCTCTGATTTTATTGAGATCGAGTTTAAGTGTGGTGAGAGTCTGTGTGAAAAAATGTAAATATTTGTATGACATAGTCGAAGAGAAAATAATATTTACTGTATTATTTTTTAATGCATCAGCAAGATGTTGTGCTCCCGTCTCCTGGATTTTATTGTGGCGGAGATCAAGTGTGGCAAGTGCCTGTATGAAAAAGAGTAAATATATGAATGTGATAGTTGAATCGAAAATGATATTTGCTTTGTTGTTCCTCAATGAATCAGCAAGATGTTGGACTCCTTCGTCGCCGATTTCATTGTGGTCAAGATTAAGTATGGTGAGTGACTGTGTGAAAAAGTGTAAATATGTGTATGAAATAGTTGACAAGTGAATGAGATTTACTTTATTGTTTCTTAATAAATCAGCAAGATGTTGTGCTCCTTTGTCTCCGATTTGATTACTACTGAGATGAAGTGTCGTGAGTGTCTGTGTGAGAAGGTATGAATATTCGTAAGAGATAGTTGAAGAGAAAATGAGAGTTACTGTATTATTGCTTAATGAATCAGCAAGATATTGTGCTCCGTTCTCTCCGATTTCATTGCAGTAGAGACGAAGTTCGACGAGTGCCTGTATGAAAAAATGTAAATGCTTGTACGATATAGTTGAAGAGAAAATGTGATTTACAGTGTTGTTTCTTAAGGAATCAGCAATATATTGTACGCCGCTGTCTCGGAGGTGATTGTTGTTGAGATCAATTTTAGTAAGTGTCTGTGTGAAAAAATGTAAATGGTTGTATGAAATAGTTGACAAGAAAATGAGATTTACTTTATTGTTTCTTAATGAATCAGCAAGATATTGTGCTCCCTTTTGACCGATCCCATTGCCATTAAGATTCAGTGTGGTGAGTGTCTGTGTGAAATAGTGTAAATGTGTGTATGAGATGCTTGTAGAGAAAATGAGATTCACTGTGTTGCTTCTCAATGATTTAGCAGGGTGTTGTGGTTCTTTGTGTCCGATGGTATGGCTGTAGGGATTATGAATCGGGTGGGTACGATTACTCTTCTCATCGAGATGTATAGTCATACCCACATTCTCGTTGTCTAATTAACAGAATAGTTAATTCATTTTTATTTGTTGAATTTTGGATGTAAGTACACGGTAGTCGTTAATGGTATGTTGGAAATTCAGTCGAAACAATAAAATATTATAATAAGTGTACTATTTGAAAATTGAAACGTTCCTTTTGACTCTATCTTTGCATTGTTCTCTGATAATCTCATGTCTGAGATGAAGCATAGAGCAGTTGTAGTGAAATAATTATTAGGGAAAAATAGAGGGAAGTGATGGTTTTGTTTTAAAAGATTATTTAGTAGTATAGCTGATTGGATTTCCCCAAACCTTTTAACTTGATAAATTATGTTGTCTCCTAATGAATTCATTGAATGATAATTACATATTGAAACTAATAGAAGTCTTACTTGGTATTGCGAATATGAGTTAAGAATTTGATTGAATCGTTGGTAGACATTTTGCATAGAGCACAACAAAGTAAAATCGTTCTCATAGTCCAAAATTCGATAAACGAGTTCTACTGGTAATGTAAGAAACGTGCACATGTTTTTGTTAGATTTTGATGAATACTCTTAAAATATGTTGTGGGATATTGCCTTTATAGTACATATTCGTGAAAGTATTTTTGTATGCTTCGATAATAGTGGTTTGATAATGATACAATCATCTGGTCGTTAAAAGAATAGACTAGTGGTAATTTCAATAATAAATTATTAGTTTTATTCAAAAAGATGGCGTTAATGTATATGTTTGGTAGATTCTGATATGAGGATAATATATAATGTGGATGAGTATTTCTTTTTAGTCTTGTTTTTATGATGAAAAGTGTCTGAATAAGAACAGAACGTTAACTTTTTTAATAATACTTTTTCGAACTTGACTTCATGATCCATTTGACTAAAGAATATTGAGGGTGTGGGTAGATGTGTGTTGTTTCTTATCCTAACCACACCCTATAGATCATAAACAATTCAGGTTGGATTGATATACGTTTCTGGAGCATGTATAATTGGCAATATATGAAGACAATGTCTAATGAATCATTTCATACTTGGAGTCAACTAAATTTATCAATGTTTGATGATGGATATTATACTGTAGGATTTCGAAATCAGCAAACTCTTCAATGGTGTCCTATTTGTTCAAATGCAAAACAAATAACAGAATGTACGAATAAACTTTTCTTTTTAACGAAAAACAACAAATCACAGGTAAAAAAAATCAACTGAACATATTTTGGAAGTCTTTATATATATTTATAAGAAATCCATAAAAATCATACAACACTTTTACCAGTAAGACAAAAAAAACAATACATTCAATCTATTGCATCACAATATATAGTAAAATAAATATCTGAGAAGTCTTTTTTTTCTGTTTTTGCTTCACTAAAACATTCTTTATTTTAATCTGTACGACGTAAATTTTTTAAAGCACATTTAGCTGCTGCATTTGTTGCTATACGATAATTTCTACCAACACCTTTAAAACGTCATTTACCAATTATTTCAACTGTAACACGTATTCGTTCATCAAGTAAACGTTCGGAGTTTTCAATAAAAGGTTTTAACATTGGATAATAAATTTTTCATACAGTATTAAACGATTTATTTGAATCAAGAAATTTTTGTTTCTTCCGATTCATCAAGCTCATTTGTTGTTTCATCATCTAAATTACATTCATCAAAACCACACCATGATGATTTATCTTTTTGTGTTTGAACAAATTTATCAATTAATAAAAATAATTCATTGGAATGACAACGAAAATATTTATGAAAATCATATTTAACAACTAAATATGCAAATATATTATTATTGACTGAAGCAGAACGAAGATCTGTTAATTCATCGGGTGAATGACGTTTTAGATGCTTAAATATTAAAAAAAAGATGAATTGACTAACTTCATAGAAATAACGAGTGATAATATAATCAAGTACAGCATCATCAAGAAATTCTAAACGTTGATAACAATCTGTTATTATATTATAAAAATATAATGCATGGGTCAACTGGTGAGGATAATGGTGAAAGTTTACCAGTCATTTCTGTTCCATCGTCTAAAAAGAATATTTTTGATTAATTTTTTTTTTCTAAATCTAATATTAATTTCTTTATCTGCAAATAAAGTCTTATAAGATACGTATAATAACTATAACTGTGAACGAAACTATTTAATTCATTGAAATTCTGCTAATAGATGAGAAGGATATATTGGGGTGTAGGTGTGAGTGGATCTTGCGTTCTTCTTTTATTCACCCACACTCACTCTCAAGTTTCACACTTAAGACGCAAGTAGTGCTCGAGTATTAACTCGCTTACTTCTGTCTCATACAAATGGTATCTCTCCACATTTATTGAAGACAGAATCCCTGTGTTTCTCATCGCTCTCAATACGCATTTGCATGCTAATCAGTAGCACACGAGGATCGAGTCATGTTTCAGATTCCAGCATCAATTTTTTCTTAGACAAACCTCCACCTAATAAGTACAGTATGGAAACTAACACAGATGAGAAAACAAACGATTTCGACTTTCGGCATACTTCTCTGCGAGAAATAGAGCATCAAAATATCCACAGAAATGCTTTTTCTTCAAAACTCGATTTCTATTACCTTCACTTCTGAGTTGTCTGACTAAACAAATCTCAGATTCAGAGTCTCTGACCCCCAAAAACTTTTAATCATGTTTTATAATGTATTATGGTTTTTTTCACCCTGACACCAACATACATACAAACGCATTTTATTTCATATGATCCTCCCTACAGCCGAGGGAATAAAGCACAGTAATAAAATAAAATACAATAAAATGAAATGAGATAAAAGAAAAGAAAATAATAAAAAAGTAATAAAATAAAATGAAATGAGATAAAATAAAACAGAGTAATAAATCTAGTCAACGATCTTATCTCGATCTTTCTAGATTCTTCTTTTTCTTTACTTTCAAATAAGATCCCTGTATTCAGACAAGATTCTTTTCAAGAAGCAAGTAGAAAGAATCTTGTCTGGATTTCAATATTCTTGTATGATTAATCAGAAATAAAATAATCAGGCAAGAACTATAAGATATTCAAGATATGTATAAAGTTCAGGCAAGAATCTTTTTTTTTCTTTTAAAAATAATCTTGTTTGAAGTTCAAGAACAACAGAATCCTGTACGAGCATCATGAAGATAAAGAAACTAGAAAGAAATATAAGATTTTTTAAATTGCTTAGTATTAAGACAAGATTCTTATGATAGAGAAGAAAAAGATTCTTGCCAGCTTTCCACGATCATCAACACGTGATGTAGTTTTTGTTCGAACATATATATGTATATGTCTGATCATTATTTATTCATGGTAGTGATACTTTAACCAGCATTTACACTTTGAACATATACTTTTTCTCAAACGTTCGTTGCATTCAAACGATATCTAACAATTCTTTATTTCAGTTGGATATATAGCAAATATTTATATTCAATATAAAGACAACAATGAAATCTATGATAACAATCCTTTTTTCTGATTTCTCCGAAAATTTGACTTATTGAACACATTCGATATGTGATTAATCAATATTTTTTTATTTTTTTAGATTTTCTTTTATCATCCATAAAAGTATACTCAAATGGATGGAGGAAATCCTCATTCGTTCAAAAACATATTATTTGAAAATGCTCTAAGTAATATAGGTAATATCTATATGCCCATTTTATCTTTTTGTTTTACAGTTTTTTTGTACATTGTATGTATGGTTGATAATAAAATCGTGCGAAAAACGTATTATTAATCTATATATAGAGAAGAATGTTTGTCTATCCGTTTGCTATGCGATCAGCTCTGTATTAGCAACCAACACCAAACTTTCCATGGTATTCCCCTGGGTTCACGGAAAGCTCGAGAGGGATTGGTATGACTATGCAGGTCTAGAGAGAGGGGGGGGCGGTTGGATGAAGCATCACCCAGTTTATGAATACCGAAAATTCTCTAGCGTACTCTAAGGAAAAGAATGCGTATATGAGTGTTTTCTCTAACTCTTGAGTACGAGTGAAGATGAGGATGAGGGAGCGAGTGAGTGGGTGAGGGTGAGGGAGCGTGATGGCGAGGAAGCGGGTGATGGTGACGGTGTGAGTGGGCGAGTTGGTGGATAGGTGAATAAGAGTGAATGAGTGAGTGAGGGTATGAATGGCAATGCGTATTGATGAAAAACAATCGCACCCATACTGTGAACCCTCACTTACACCTACACTCATTTTCTCATCTACCGAATATGTACTATCAAATTTTTCCGATAAATATCGGGCGCTCCCGCTAGTAACCGATATAAAGCTTTTTTTGATATAGCAAGAAGTAGACAAGAAGGAAAGAACACAACAATCTTGTTTAAAAAGCAAAGTCATATTTTTCAAGCAAAAATCTTATACAGAAAGAATAGAAGAAGAATCTTGCCAGATACAGGGGCGTAGCCAGGAGTTTTGCATGGGGATGCACACCAACGAGCAAATACTTTTTGTCTTATGACAAGCTTCTCTATCAGTACCTCCTTCAGATATTTTTCTACCAAAGGGGGTGCACGGCATCTGTGCACCCCCTTTAGCTACGCCCGTCACCTGATAATCAAGAAAAATAAGAATCTCGAAAGATCGAAACAAGATCGTCGATTGGTGAAAATGAAATGCAATAAAATAAGATGAAATAAATTATAGCAATAAAATAAAATGCAACGAAATAGAGTAATAAATCAAAATGAAATAATGTAAAATAAAGTAAAAGAATGTGACTGTTGATAAAGAAATACTTATACTAACATCACGCGCACCATCATTATTGCAGTAAATCACTTTTGATTGTCGACATATTTACTTCTCGAAGATTCCTTCTCACTGTGCTGCCAGTGTATATATAAAGCATCAACACGACTGCAGAAACATACAATATTCATACCTGCTTCAGTTCATTGGCAACTCAGTCTTCAAACATTCAAGCAATAATATACAACAATGCACATTATTAATCAAATGGTTTGCCTGGCAATCTTCTTGATTCTGATGGCAACAAGCTGCATGGGACGCACTGTGGAGGAGGGAGTCAATCAAGCTGCAGAGCCTAATGATGGTACTGGCCATTTAATCAACAACGGTGATCCTCGTGCTGTTTGTCCTGCTCTTTGTGTTCTTCTTGGTTGTGATCCTTGTAATATTATTAATTGTCTTCCTTGTGGTCTTCTTGGTTGTGCTGCTTGTAATCCTACTACTACAAGCACTACTACTTCAACTACTACAAGAATTACTACTAGAACTACCACTCCAACTACCACTCCAACTACCACTCCAACTACTACCCCAGCTACCACTCCAACTACTACC